CACACACACACACACACACACACACATCAGTTTCATTAAAAACAAAAAAAAGCCATTCCCCTTCTACCTCAGAAGCTCTGCCGCCCGAAGAAGCCATTTTTCCCCTTCTTCGGAAACACTTCGCCATCTTCGCTCAATGCCAGAAATTCCTCCGCCTTTCTTCATCTCTCTCGCTCCTTCTCTCTAGTCGCTGATTCTCGGCGTCGTAGGCTTCGATTCCCGCTTCCGCCGCCTTCGATTTTCGCTGTCGCCACCGTCGATTGTCGCTGTCGCCGCCGCCGAATGTCGTCGTTGCTGACAAACGCAAGATCACTCCTCTCACTATCAATGCCTCCTCATTTCCGGTCAGTTTTATCTCCCTCACTTTCCCTTTCTCATCGTGGAAAAGTTTTTATTTTTATAGCATTTTAGGACAAGAATCTGTTTGAATCTGTTTGAATCAGTTTGAATATATTCATCTTAATCAAGCTCAGATCAGGTTTCTATTCATTTCATTTGTTGCTGATTTGGGCTTTTTTGTTTTTTGTCTCTAAGGTTGAATTCGATTATTCTGGTGCATTTAGGGATATGGCTAAATATTTGATGGTTGTTCTGATTGAAATATGAATGTGGGCTTTGTGTTCTTTTCTTTTGTTTTGTTTAATTCAAAAAGTTGTATTGACTTTTTCAGGTCGGTAATTAATGGCTTTGGTGAGTATTTGATTTTCGTTTTAGCTGAAATATGAATGTGGGTTTTATTTTTTTGGTTTGCTTAGGCCTTGGACTTGGGAAGTACGTTTTGGTTTAGATTGGTAGATACTTCATTTTTTTATTTCTAAAGTTGCATTGGCTTATCAATTTTGTTTGATTGTATTTTATGTTGAAATGAGATTGTGGGTTGTTGCGTTGTTATATTTTGGTTGTTGTTCTTTTTGTTTGGTAAGAATCAGGGAATTTAGAAATTTTTGAATCATGATAGTGTATTGGATATATGCTTTTCTGTTTTGAGTCTGTTTTGAGCCTTTAGGACAAGAATATGTATTGGATATATGCTTTTCTTTTTTCTTTTTTTCTTTGAAGTTGTATTCTTATTTTGACGTTGCTTCCTGGCTTCCTGGCTTTAACATTGATTTCCGGTCATTCGTTTGAAGTTGCTTCCTGGCTTTTCTTAACAGTACGCCTCATGTTTAACAATCCTGCTTTGCTTCTTTTCTGTTTTTGCGCCTGCATAATTGTTTGTTTGCATTATCTAACTACAACCTGCAGGTTCACACCAATTAGTTTGTTTTAGAAAGAGGGGGAAATTTGGTCAAACATTTGTTTAACATATTTGTATAAGTTATGGCTTTCGAAAATTTGAAAGGAGATGAGCGTCCAAAAGTTTGAATAATACTATATTGATGATCATTCGGATTAACAGGACATTTGGCAAAGTTGAAAAAAATTGAATATTGACTGTATTATACTATATTGACGCCTGAAGTGGCAGTTCGCCAGCATACATTTATTTGCATTTAAAATTTATTTGCATTTGTTTAGCCAGCTGACATTAGGCACCAACCTTTAATTCGTAGATCTACTATCATGTCAGATATGGATAAGAGTTGGATTTATGTGACGAACCGAATTTCGGATAATACCCAAAGTCTCAAATCGTTAAGGGGAAAAACTTGTATCTTTGAAAATCTTGAATTCTTGATGGCGAGATCTACATTGTTGTTTTGTTCTATTTTCGGTTCTGCTACATTAGAGAGGTCATATGCTGTAGTGATGAGAGTGTCTCCTTTTTACCAAGTGTATTTTTAACGTTCATCTTTCTAAGTTGAACCAGTGTTCTTGTTAACGTTCAATATATACATATATGTATATATATGTTGGTACACTTATTTTAGTTGTATATATGTACCCTTTCCCATGTTATTATCAATTTGGTACGTCTTCTGACAGAAAATGTTTTCCCATCTACATTTCTTACTATCATTCGCTTAATGTAGTTTGCATTTCAATTAACAGGACTACTATCATGTCAGATATGGATAAGAGTTGGATTTATGTGACGAACCGAATTTCGGAGACATATATGGATGGAGTTAGAAGATTTATTGAACAAGCACGTAATCACCTAGATGCGGATGGAAAATGTCGTTGTCCTTGCAAAAAATGTTTGAATTGTTTTTTCCATCATATAGATATTGTTGAGCGTCATATTTTTGTTAGAGGTTTTAGCTTAAATTATATAAACTGGATTAATCATGGCGAGGAGGAAACCGATACTACTCCCAATGTACAAGATGAAGACTATGATGCAGAAGGAGAAAAAAGTGACAATGATGACGACATAGATGAGATGGTAAATGCATTAAATGATGCATTTCCGCACATCAATCCATCTTCAATGGATGATGGTGCAGAAATAAATGATATTGGGGGTTGTGAAGAAGAGACACCGAATTTAGAAGATTTGTTCGCTGAAGCGGAGAGGGAGTTATATAAAGGATGCACAAAGTTTTCCGCATTGACTTTTTTGGTGAAGTTACTTCATATAAAAGTATTGAATCAATGGAGTAACAAGTCTTTTGATATGTTGTTGAAGTTACTTCGGGAGGCATTTCCAGAAGGCTCGAGAATTCCCAAGTCTTATTATGAGGCGAAGCGGATGATGCGGAAGCTTGGGTTGGGATACAAGACTATCCATGTGTGCCCAAAGGAGTGTGTGTTGTATTACAAAGAGTATAAAGATTTGAAAGACTGTCCAGTATGTGGTCATAAGAGGTATAAAAATTGTAATGCAAAGGAGAAAAAAGTTCCCCATAGAAAAATGCACTACTTTCCTCTCATTCCAAGATTGCAGCGTTTATTTATGTCTCGACACACCGCTGAATATATGAGGTGGCACAAGGAACAACGTTTTGAGACAGAAAGAGTCATTCGACACCCTACTGATGCGGAAGTGTGGAAGGAATTTGACAAACAATATCCGGATTTTGCAGCTGAACCACGTAATGTCAGATTAGGTCTTGCTTCCGATGGTTTCACGCCGTTTGGTGATATGGCAAATCCATATAGTATGTGGCCAGTTTTAGTGGTGGCTTACAACATGCCCTCTTGGAGATGTATGAAGCAGGCACATATCATGATGTCGACATTAATTCCGGGACGGAAGGCACCGGGGAAAGACATAGACATTTATTTGAGACCTCTAATTGATGAACTTAAAGAGTTATGGGAGAACGGCGTTAGAACGTACGATGTAGTTGAAAAAAAACAATTTACTTTGCGTGCTGCAATATTATGGACAATTAATGATTTTCCTGCATACGGTACTTTATCCGGCTACTCCACCAAAGGATATGAGGCTTGTCCGGTGTGTATGGATGAAACTGCTTCATTCCGATTACAAAGTAAGATTTGTTATATGGGGCATCGCCGTTATTTAAGTCCGGATCATGCTTGGCGTTCCGACTTGAATTTTGATGGTTCTGTTGAAACAAGAATGCCTCCCGAATCAAAAACGGGTGAGGAACTATTGTTAGAGCTAAGCAAGCTGTGGGTTCCTATGCCGGGAAAGGATGTAGCAGTTCGTGAAGCTGACATGAAAAAAATGTCAGAAGCTGGGTACTCAAACGACAGTAACTGGAAACGGAAAAGTATCTTTTGGGAGCTCGAGTATTGGTCAAAACTTAAGTTGCGTCATAATCTTGATGTAATGCATATAGAAAAAAATATATGCGATAACTTGGTAGGAACCGTGTTAGGAATAGATGGCAAGTCAAAGGACACCAAAAAAGCTCGCTTGGGCTTACAAGAGTTGAATATAAGAAAGGAGTTGCACTTGGATGGTAAGGGGAAAAAGCCTCCGGCATGTTTTACATTGTCTACTACGGAGCGGAAAGCTTTTTGTCAATTTTTAAAATCAGTCAAATTTCCCGATGGATATGCAGCAAATTTGTCGCGAAATGTCAACATTAACGATGGTAAGATCACGGGTTTGAAAAGTCATGATTGTCACGTGTTGTTGCAACGATTGTTACCGATAGGATTGCGGCCTTACTTGAAGAAAGACAATGTGTTGGGTCCGATTGCTGAGATGTGTTCATTTTTCCAGCAGCTTTGTGCAAGGACATTGTTAGTAAAGGACTTAGATGCATTACAAGAAGGTATAGTTTACACATTATGTAAACTTGAAAGGATTTTTCCTCCTGCATTCTTTGATGTTATGATCCATCTAGCCTACCATTTACCAGAGGAGGCAAAATTAGCTGGACCAGTGCACACTAGGTGGATGTACCCTTTTGAAAGGTATCACTCTATTTAGTGGATTTATGTATATGTTTAGAGATTTTCCTAATGACGAACATGTGTACTTTCTCGGGAGTTATATCATAGGACACTAGGGAAATTGAAGAAATATGTCAGAAATAAAGCTCGTCCAGAAGGCTCGATTGCAGAAGGTTATACTATTAGTGAGGTATTGACGTATTGTTCAATGTACATGCGTGACATTGAAACACAGTTTAATCGGCCCGAACGTAATGCAGACAATATCGAATCCCGACCATCCTCATCAATTTCAGTTTTTCATCAACGTGCGAGACTGTTTGGGAAGCCAAAGGCTATTATGTTGACACAAGATGAACGTGAAAAAGTACGTTGGTATATTCTAAACAATATTGAAAAGTTGCAGCCATATTTGGAGTAAGATATTGATCCTTATGTGTACCTTCTCAATTCCTTTTTAGAATAACGAAATTTAACACATAATCATTGACAGTGAACATGTTTCATTATTGCGATCCGAAGGCGTTGATCTTATTAATATTCAGCGTACCCAAATATCAACCTTTGCAAAGTGGTTTGGAAACAAGGTAAGACAACGCTTGCTTTCATTTGAAATATGAATTTATAGTGAGTGGCGTTCTTCTTAATAACTTACATGAACATTGATGCAGATTAGAGACAAATATGCAGAAGATGATACAACTATCTCTAATGACTTGTATGCTCTGGCAAACGAACCTAACATTTTTGTTCACTCATACCCTGGTTGTATGGTGAATGGAGGGCGATATCATACTAAAATGCGAGATGACAAGCATACCACACAGAATTCTGGTGTTTACGTTGAGGGAGATTGTGATGGGGTAATAAGTGATTTCTTCGGTGTGATTGAGGAGATTTGGGAGGTGTCATTTTTGTATTGGAATAAGGTGATCTTATTTAAGTGTTCATGGTTTGATACTGCCAATGGAAGGATGAAGAAAGAGTATAATTTCACCACCATTAAAACTGATTCATTATGCTTTGAGGATGAACCGTATGTCTTGGTAGATCAAGTGAAACAAATCTATTACATTAATGATGAAAAGAGAGGTGACTCTTGGAAAGTAGTTTAAAAAGTCAATCACCGTCATATATGGGAGAATGTCTCAAAAACAACAGTTGAGGCTTGTCAAGAGGATGAAGAAGATAACGAGCCTTATCAAGAAGAGTTATCAAATGAGCTTAACATTTCATTTGACACCACAAATGTTAATGAAGCTCCCTTAAATCGTACGGATATTGGGCCACTCGAAATTGATGATTTCACCATTGATATTTGCATCGATCCCAATGATGAAATTGATGACGAAACAGAAGAGGAAATTGAAACGGAATTCAATGGAGAAGCCGATGATGAAATTGATGGTGACATCGAGAAAACTGATTCTGCAACTGATTATAGTGATTGATTAGGTCAACTTATTTCAGTTTAACTTCAAAATGTGCATTTGTGATTGTTTGAAGTAGTTGTAAAACTGTGACAAGATTTGAATATACCATACCTCCAATCACTAACTTCTATTTTTATTTTTATTATTTCAGGATATCACTTATGTCTACTCGTAAGAGAAAGCTATCATTTAGTTCTGGTTCAAAATCCAAATCCGCTCCATCTCTGCCGGATGTTGACGCATCTCCCCGGACTCCTTCAGTGGCATCTTTAGGCACATTAGGCTCATCCACATCTTCGCGAGCAGATAATAAGCCATCACAAGATTTTCAACAATTTCACGAGGATCAACCTCCGGAGATTCTACGTATTGAAAATACACGTAAGATCATAATAATTATTTTTAATTGAGTTTTTTTTTACACTATTCTACATTTAACCTCATTTGTAAACAGCACGGTCAACAAATGTTCGAGGACCAACTACATGTCAAGGAATTAACAAGTTAGTGTCCAAGAAAGGAAAGCTTCAAGTACAATTTAGAGAATCTGAGCTCCGAGTTTACGGGGAGCATGCGGGCCGATTTGCGAGCAAAATTGGTTCTATAGTTCGCCATCATGCTCCATTAAAGTATAGTGGTTGGGGTAAGATTCCTGAAAATGAACAGAATGAATGCATAAGACGATTGAAGGTAAAAATTTCTATTGTAACTTATTCTTTATAACGATTGCACTTATATAAGAATAAATTTAGCAACTTTTTTTTCTTCAGGATCTATTTGATTTAGATTTTGAGGCGCATTCACAATTGAAAGATATTGTACATCAATATTTCTATGAGCGCTTTAAAGGTTATCGATATCGG